ATGAAAAAATTACCAATCCCAACGAAACCGTACTATCGCGTGTTAGCATGATATAATATAATGAGCAGTACACAAAATATATTACCTATATAGTAGTAAAGTACGCCGTACAATTTCAGCACTGTGAAGTGAATGTGGTATATATAAATTAAAACGAGAGAACATGTTCTGTGTGTAATTAAAAAATAGACAAATAGACAAAACTTAAATTTTATAATGCCGGAAGAGTAAGTTTTTTTTATCTACCATCAACAACAATAAAACGTCGGTCATAGGTTCATTAATGTGTACACGCTGCAGTTAGGCATAGGTAGTTTAATCGAGTCGACGAGACGTTATTTGGAACAAAGTATGGGCAACTCCCCTTTGTCGAATGGCTATTAATAATACCAAACAGTTTAGTTAGATAGTTGTCATAAACTCCTGGCTCGTTATGTGGCAGTTATGTAATGCGCGTTTATGGTGTATATAATAAACTATATATTATAATATGCACAACTATTATGCGTATAAACAAAGGCAGTTCAGGTCGCCGATATAATATATCATATTATCATTTAAATTTATAATTAAAATGTCTTGTGAATTGAGGTTCATGATTATTTTTCATTTTTTAGAAAATTTAATGACAAAAAATAAAAACAAATGTCTGATTGTCTACATAAAACTGTCTGATAAATCATACATATAATTCCGTAATTCGTGAATTGTTTTAGTTGTTTAAATGATTCCAACATACGGTAGGCGAATAGGTCATAGATTGAGAGATTGAGTATGACTATTTTTGTAAGTATAGTGTGAGCGCATGGTGCCTGTCTATACACGATCTACATGGAAACGAATAAAAACCATTAGCGTCTACGACACACACGATAAACAGTGGTTAATAAAAAAAAAAACAAATTATTAAAAAAATAAAATAAAAACAATAGATTTCGAACAGTTAACAGTTATTTCTCTTTGCCCTTCGTAGAATGATCGCCGTTAACGTCTCCGTCCGCCGTCGGCAAATTAACCGGGCACAGAGCCGTCAGCACTTTAATAATAATACACATAAATATACACACACAAGCGCATCATATACACATCACAGCAACAGTGGCCACATCGTCGGAGATTTTACACAGCGTTGTAACAATATATAATAATATGGTAAATTATCCAATTTCCTCCGGTTTAAAGACATCGCTGTCAGATGACCCACGGGTGTGCGTAGTATGAGCGTACGATAAGGGACAAGTGTGATGGGCAGGGGTAACGCGAAGGAGGGAAAGGATATGTACACGCGCGTGGCGGCGATTGCATTCGACCGTTTGGGAAGCGTGAAATTAGATTTTCAAACCCGTAATTAAAATATATATACACATATACTCGTATATACAAAAAGGCCAACGACTGGTGTACAGCATATAAACGTGTCAGAGCGTTTCGTGTTGGTTTGTTAAGTCTATGTATGCCCAAGTGTTTATGTACGTAACACATATTTTTTCCTGTCCCGCTTTGTGCGAGTACCGTCTGTCCATCTAAATCTTGCGACTCACATTTAGCAAGAAACTAATATGTATGGACCATACGGACCGCTCGTAATGTCCGTTGACTGTTGTTAAAAGTAAAACATCAATGTTAATAGCTGTTACGTCATCCTAACCGCTGTTTAAACTAGCGGTTATAGGTCGAGAAGCAATCATATATTTTACTAGAGAAAACCAAGACTGCAGCCAACCCGCGGTTTATTTCAATTCACCCTACAAAATAATAAACGAAAAAAAATTATCTCGTGCCTCGTTTGGCTTATACTGCCCTGTCTCGACAGTTGACATTTCAGACAATATTGTATAGTAAATTGGGCAGATAAATATTATTTAACTCAATCTTCAACATTCGCCTAGTAACATAAGTGTAGTTGAAATACGTATAATACTCTCTATTCAACCTGGAAGGTTTGTGTTAAGTTTGAACTTTAAAGTTAATAGGCTGTTGCTTTAACACTGCGCACAACATGTTATAAATTATTATGTTACTTGTGTAAAAAAATTAAGTAAAATATAAATCTTTAAAATTGTGCGCTAAATGTATGCTAAATTTACATAATAATCAAATAAAAATAAGAAATAAATGAACGAATTCACTCCTAACTATATTTTATTGTATCAATTAGGGGCGAACACAAGGGAGAATGTTACAGCTAATTTCTAAATAACCTTAACTTATAAATATAAGGCAGTATCAAACGCCTTTCTTAATACATACGTTATAAACTTAGTTTTTTACAAGTCTTACCCCCTTTCCAATTAATACAAAAGTGAAGTTGTCATTGATATCACTCAAATTTAAACGTAATTTAAATAATTGAAATACATAAAAACGTAATGTAAACAATATATATAACATATATGTTGATAAACTTGGCAAAATAATAAACCCAATAAGCTGTAATAATGGATTTCAATATATACAATAATTGATTTTAAGTAAATTAGTAATATTGTTTTCATTATTTGTAGGGTAACTAATCATAACGTATAATTTCCAAAATTACATAGCTCTTTTTATTTAAACTTATAATTATTAAAATTCTATATTTTACTATTTTATATTTATCTAGGTATATCGTTTTAATACAATATTAATATATAATATAAAGCAGTAGTAGCTGTGCATGTTTTGGAAATAAAATTTTGGTTTCAAAATGTCACACATGTGTCACCACAGAAATCAAAATGTCTAACGAGTATTTATTATTTAGTTAAATGTATTTAAATTTTTGATCATCAAAGTGAAATATTACATGGGTATCCCACAAAATTTTAGACTTTCTAATTAAATATCTAATTAACTATATATTGCTCAATATTTAATGCGTATACATTTTTTACTAATATATATTTGATTTAAAAGTATTGATGTTCGTTTAAAATTAATAAGACATACCGATTCAAATATCATAAAAAATTCACATTGTATTTGGTAATAAAATAATATTGTTATATTAATAATATAACTGTTATGTAATATAATAATAAATGTTTTAAATTTGTTAATCAATAATCCTACACCTACATTTTTTAATTAATTCGATTAAAAACTCAACAATACCATATTTATCTAGTTTTGATAGCAATAAACGCCAGTAATATATTATAGACAATGCAATCAAATACCTTTTATACATAAAAAACATGCCAAGTAATTCATTACCATCATCAAGTTTTTAATGAATAGATCTAACAAGGGATTATACAGCTTTGGAAATATTTATTTTTTTATTCCTAAGCCAAAATTTATTATCAAAAAAATTAGATAACACACCAATATTAAACATGAGTATATAACTAATCAATTTTCTAAAAACTTTATTGTCAACAATAAAAGTATAATATATAATATTTATTAAATTCATGAACCTATTGAACCTATTTAATAGTAGTATAAATAAAAAACAATTTTATAATTTATTACAAATCGTCATCAAACATTATAAATTTAGTTATACCAGCTAGCTGCGAAAAAATCAATTTATTTGAATTTTGAAATTTGGTATTTAATTGTAATAGAATATCAACGATTATTTCATAAAAAAATATTTTAAAATTTGATTTTTAGATTAATTTCTTGTTGCTTTTGATGGTTTTGTAAAAGTAACCACTTGAATAAAAATTTTCAACATTTCAGACTCGTTTTTGTTTTTATCTATAAGGTCAAATGTGATTTACTTTACTCAAGTAAAATTCTACATTAAAAAATTTATTTTGAAGTATGTTAAATAAATTGTCGGTAAATATGAATATATTACCAAATAGCAATGCTAAAAAAGCAAATTCAAATGTTTTTAAATTTTTTAATGACCTACGGCATCACAAATAGATTCAAACAACGACTTTGGATCATTACTAATAAAATAAAAAATATTTATAAATACAGACCACACATTAACTACTGTAGGTACGTAAAATGTTTGACCACAAGAACCATCTAGTTTGAATTTTTTCCAAACAATATTTTCTATAACATCGGTGAGGTGGGACTGTGAAAAATAAACAGCAATGCCAGATATATTTGCAAAAAAATATATGATATATAACGTTTATACTATAACCATGTAGCAATACCAAACTTTATCTTTAAGCTAAACAGTGTGTAAATAAAGTATGCAAGTTCTTTAACTTTAGCCAGTAAATTTATTAAATTCCCAGACATTACACAATCCCCAACATAACATTGGCCAACTAATTAATTTTTTTACATCAAACTCGTGTAAAACAGAATAAACCAAATTCAATTAACCTTGATCCATGCAGTCTTCACTGACATCATGAAAACTCAAGAAACGTTCAATTCAGATTTATCTGTAACATATCTAACTATAATTGAATATTGTGTTTTTTGAATAATATCTATAGTATCATTAATTTAAATGGACTTAAAAACCCTGAAAATATGTTTTTTATACTATTATAATGATTTTTAATTTTTTGAGAACACTTAATAATATATTAATATGCACATAAAACAATTCTCTAAAATTCCCTTTATTTAATGAACCACTACTCTAATAGTGACCACAAAATGTCAACTCTTGATTTCCTAAAAATAAAACCAAATTGATTAAGTGTTCCATAAATAAATGATTCAACCACACATTTTAGTTATATTTTTTTAAACAAATTACCACGCTCATTAACAATATCTACTATAGTAAAACTATTATTTACCTGATTTTTAATCCTAAATAATTACGAATATGTACTTTTGATAATTGACGTATTTGTTTACTCGTAGATATTTTTTTTTAAACCACGATACCCAACAGTATTCCAAACAAACTTATTTTGACAATTTGATCTATTGTATAGTATAATGACTTCCACATAACCAAGAGTATTATTGATATAAATTTGGATTAAATGACCTACAAAATATTTTACTTAGTTTTTTGTCAGGATTTAAAACTGACAAAATCGGAATAGGCTTACCTGCTTTTAGTAAATAATTTTTATTACCTGACTTCCAACGTCGAAACAGCGTTTCCAACAACACTACAACCACGTCTGTCACTAGATTTATAATTCTGATTTCTGACAAATAAAATCTATCAGTAACCAGTGTAAATGATGGATAAAAAGCACGGCGACACACGTAAACAAATTTAAACAAACCAACACATTCGACGTTTCTAACAAGACCGAATAATAAAATATTATTGAAACTTTTTAACGGTTGCACTTTAGGCGCTATGATAATAACAACTGATTTATGATTATGTGTTTTTTTGTTGAATGTGCCGCAGCCGTGGCTGCGAGTTGACCATGACTCCAAATCTATTTTTAGTACACAGAGACAATGAAAAATGAGTCTCACGATGATCATACCGCATGCGCGATTTTGCTTATTCAACAGTCTCGTACACACGCATGTATTTATATTATGTAGTTTAAGTACACAAGTACTAACTCAGAGGCGACGTCAAACAGAGCCTCTCTGGTGTCATCTGAACATAACCGCCGGCTGAAACACCAGCGTTTCTCAACGGTTTATCGCTATTTTTGCTAATAAATACGGGGAATAATATACGCATAATATAATAAATGATAATTCATATAATTAAACTTCGTAAAGAAGAAGAATTTGTTTTCAAATGAAATCATAAATACGTTAAAAACTATTAGCGAAATAAATGCTATCGGTAAGCCAAGAAGTATACTTTTTGAATATTATTTACTACAAAATTTTAGGTGAGGCCACTTGCCTCGCCCTTAAAGCCGCCAAATCAATGTGCTTACTGAACTATCGTTTTTGTGTGATGTGTATTCGTGAAAAGCTTTACAATTAATCGTGTAAAAATATAATATTATATCGGTCAGCAATTCATCGTAATGTATCTGTATTATAATTGATTACATAGATATAATGTTAGGTACTTATTAATGTACGTTATTTTGAGTTTATATAATTTATATATGTATATTATGCATAGATCTCTTATAACATAATTTTTACTGCACTCGGTACAAAAAAATAATACATAACAATATGATAGAGTTTAACATTGAACGGTGCACTGTGTATGCAATTTCACTACACGTTCATATGTATTATACAGAGCACAAAGACTGTGATACGTCATCTCATAATTTTCAGAGTAACACTGTGCTACTACATAATAAAATCGTAAACCAGTAAAACATCTATAGAACGAATACCATAGGCTATTAGAGAATTAATGTGTCCGCTATTAAGAGGTTAGGTGTATACAGTTTATTATATTAATTAAATTTTCTTCAACAACAATAATACTTATTATAACTCCCTAATAATATATTGTAATTATTTTAATAATGTACAATAAGTAGATTACAATTTTCTAATCTTCTGTTATATTTTTATCTAGGTAACTATAAACAAATGAAATCGTACAACAATAAAATAACACCAACAACAATACGTAAATATATATTTCGAATAATATAAAACATTAAAATGTAATTATACAGTTGTTGTATTTTAGTTGGATTCCTTTGAATGACCATTCTAGCATTTAGGATACGATAAAAAATATATATCCACAAACAAAAAAATAATCATATTGAGTTGACAATTCATAATTATCCTTAACATTATTGTTAATCTAGTAAACCGATTATTATACTAACTCTTTCATTTACACAACTTAAAAAACATATCCATTAACTTAACATTTTCCATTTTTATTACATATTGTAACATGTCAATTATGACACTGCAAATACACAATACGTTTAGTGTTAAAAATAATTAAATATTTAATCGAATAAAACCAACATAATTTCAAGTTGTACCTATACGTTTATAATTTGAGTACGTGTATACTTTTTTAAACAGTATTCAAAAATGATTCCAATCATAAGTTTTTCTTCGCTCTTATTCGGAAATTGGCCATTGAAATGGAATGAAAAGAACCAAAAATTTGAGATTTGTTATTATTTCTTTTTTACTTCAATTTTTATGTTTATTTATTTCTGCTATTCATTTTCCATGGTGTTCGATGTCATAATAAAAGATGATTCCATAGTCAATAATCCACAATACTTTATCATTTCTTTAGTATACTTAAATCCTGGAGTACTGGTTATAAACAGGTAAGAATGTATATAAGATAATAAAAATTTAATAGTTACAATATTTATAACACTACTAATCGGCTAAAATAGTTTTTGAATGAAATATAAAGTATTTATTCTACATAAAATCTAGTACAACTTGACACGTCTTACACGGTGATATTCATCGGATAAACTAATGATGTTTTGTGATTCATATTGTATGTATATTACTCAGGTTTATCATATTATACATCTTATACTTGCGCAATAGTTTAAAGGTTCAGTGTAAATAAACAAGTATACGGCCGTACATGGCGTTCCTTTTTTCTCGTCTGTTATAAAGATTAATTTTACCGATTGTCGTAGAATTTTTTAATGAAAACGTAGAGCCTGTTTCGGTGTGTTTAACTTTGAAAAAGAATGTCAAAAACATCACCGGGAGTAAATAACGTTTAAATAGTATACATTTCTTATAATCGGATCAGTTTAGATAGGTAGCTGCAACGAGTAGCAAATCGATGACGATTATTATCCATAAAACGCTTTTGACAACGGAAAAATTTTAAAAAAGACCATGGGCATCTGGCAAAACCTGGTAATTTTGACACGATAAAAAACGGAAATTCTGACATTTTAAACGCGCCCTCCGATTATAATAACACCGTTGCGGTAGGCATAACATTTGGGGTTTCACGTGACAAATGAAATATCGTTAAATCGTAACGGCGGCGGCGGCCGCAGTAGCCCCGACTATCGCGCGATAAAAACAACAAAGTCCAACAGTCCAGGGGCGGATCTGGAAATGTTCCACGGGTGGGGGAAGGGCGCAAAGACAGCAAAGCAAAAACATAAAAAAAAGTCATCAGATAAAAAAACCTGCAGAAGCTTTATAATATATTTTTAATTTAACTCGGGGAGGGCGCTCACTTCGCCCCCTCACACGGGTCCGCCGCCGCAACAGCCGCACATATTATTACATACCCGCGTACCCGGCCCGCGCGCAGTGTATCGGCTTGAGTACACACGGCACAAAACGTCTCAGGTTGATGAACGTCCGGAACACCGTCCGTTTCGCGAACGAACTGAAAAACGGCTGCGGCCGGACCGTGGAGTCGGGCCGTCACCTGCCCGAGTTCTGGCTCCGGACCGCCGGTTGCGTTGTTCTGCTGGGCATGGTGCACTACAAGTACCGGATATTCGCGGGCATGCCGACCGCCGCCATCATGGTGAGCACCACGATTCCGCTTGGCTGCTGCATGTACTGCGGCTCGACGATGGAGTGCCAGTACGCGGCGGCGTGCGGCGCGCTCGCCCGGAGTTCGCGTCCGTCAACCGCCGGGCCGGGACTGAACCGCGACGCCTCCGCGGGCCCGGCCTCGGCGACCCGCGGTCCGCCGCGGACAGGCTGGCTGGGCTGTCGGACGAGCACCGCCGCCGCCTCACCAGGCTCGTCCGGCTGTTCAACGACGAGTACGGCGCGCCGATATTCTTCACCACCGTCGGTCTGCGTTCGTATGCCGATAGCGCCATGAATCGCGTCGTCTCGAGTCGTCGTCAGCGGCACGTTCGACGCCGCTTACGAGCGCTACGTGTACGTCATCGACACGTTCGTGGACGTTCGCGTGGTTCCGGTTCTGGTGGATATGCTACCGCGCCGACGATCTCGCGGCACAGGTGAGCGCAATCTGCACGGCCGTGGTCGATACGGGGCCGCGGTGGCGTGGCCGATCCGCCGGATCGTACGACCAGAGTCGTCCAGAATGAACGAGGTCACGACCGGTGGCTCGAATAGGTAACGGGAATGCGGGGAAAACGCGGGTGCACATTAGAGCCTCTCCCTTCCCCCCCCTCACACGAGTCTAGGAGGCCTTTCAGAATTTCTAGAATACTGTTATTTTAATATTTTTTTTTTTTTTTACTATTAGATGATATTTATGATATTCCACCATACGAATAGTGAGTAAGTACCACTTGATTGTTTAAATCAATAATGACGAACATATATATTGTTTGTAAATTACAAAAAATTAATCATTTTATTTTTAAAAACCAATAGCCATCATAAAGTTACATACAAATTAACAAAAATAAAACAAATAATTGTAAAGTCGATATTTCATATTGGACATGGGTATTATCATTGATTATAAATGTATAATCGATTTATAATAAATGGCAATATTATACTCGTATACGTTTTTGCGACGTACACACTTTTGTCTATGAGTTTAACAAGTACCTAACAATTAAATAAAATTTTATAAGCGAGTACACATTAAATATAACCAATTGTCACGATTTAAAATAAAAACATACCTAATTAATAACACAGTATCACGTATTATTATTCATGGGGATTCAGAGGTATTCAAACTGTGTTTCGCTGCTCCTAGGGGTGTCGCGTGAGTTGATAAAGGGATCCATAAAAAAAAAAAACCAGAAAATATTAATGTAATTATGTAACGATTATGGAAACCATAATACCATAATAATACACACGATCAGTTGAATTTTTATCAATATGAATATACTCCATTATTAATATAGTTTATAATACCTTACGCCACTGGTCACAGTTCATTATATTGTAATGCTAACTACTCAATAGTCAATACTAACTACTATAATAAATATAGCGTACTATTATTAAATTTTATGTTAAGAATATTGTTTAGAAAATCTCGTAGATTGTGTTTATGGCAGGTATTATAAATTTTAAAATTGTAGTATTTTACTTTCTTCTAACTTACTTTAAAATCGAATTACTAATACAAACACCACGAAATACTTTAGATAATAATTTTAAATTTTACTTAAATTTAATAACCGATTAACATTTTAATATTAAAGCTAACTCAAAATTTATCCTGCTAAACTCAAATTTGCTTTGATACGCATATTGATATTAGATGAAAAAAAAGAAATGTAAGTGTCTCCTCGTGTCACGAAATCACATCCATATATTTTTGTACATTTAAACTTTTTACAAAAAACACTTTAGTCGTTATTACTTATTAGTTATTACAATAAGTTATTAGTTACAATTCGTATTCTTCTTTTTAGGTTCACCTAACAGCAAAAATAATGCTTGAAAATGATATAAATTCGTTTCCAGAAAATACAAGAAAAATGGTAAATAATATTAATTACTTACAATTTAATAATAATTTTACGTATTTATAAAAGATATTTGTTATTTAATTATCATTAGTTTATCGCTATTCGTGTATTTGTAAACAATCTAATCATTCTAATCCCTTTAATAATGTAGGCTTTAGATTTTTTAGACCAATTGCTTCATCGTCACGTGAGAATTACGGCATGGGGGTTCTATGATGTAAATAAGGAATTACTATTCATGGTAAATATCAATGAATATTGTAAATTGGAATATTGCTCACATAGGTTTGCTTATTTGCTATTACTTATCAAATAAAAAATTATTTATTTTTCAGATATTAGGTTATCAATTTGGTTTGAGTTTGATATGCACTCAGTTTACGACTTCGAGCATACAACTAGTTAATAATATTACGACAACTCAACCGAATGCTACAACTTCAGCAGAAAAACACTCACAAAAACTTTGAAAACTCTAAAATATATTTTTCAATAGTTATCTACCTAATACTTTTTATCTATTTTTAAAATCAAATTATATAAATAATTATCTACATGAACTGGCTATAGTGCTATAGGTACCGACAACACAAATCGTTTCCTATTGGCTATTTGCATGTGTTTTAATTATTACCATTGATAAGTTTTTTTAAATACGATAATGATTTCTCATATTTTTCTGAAAATCTATTATAATTTATAGGATGAAGGTTTTAATTAGAAACAGCAGAAATAATAAAATAAATATTGTTTATCAATATTCGATATCTACCTAAGCTTTTTTTTTTTAACCTAGTCAATTATCATATTATAATCTATTACCTACATTAATATATCACGACTTTGCAATGCAGCTCTTCCTCGCTAACAAACGACGCTGTGTCCGGCGTAGTAAAATTAATGGTACAACTTTTCCAATAATTAATACTACTCCTAAGTTGTTCTATTTAATATGTAAACCTCAAACAAGATATCTCAATCCCTAAATTACCTATGATTCATCATACAAAATAAATCTACATTTATATTATTGGTTTAAAAATCTGTAAACTTAAATGTAGAACATTTCCAAAATCTATGCAGCCAAAGTAAGACATTTCTTACCATTTCTATCAGTACAATTTTGGGAAATACAGGGTTGACTAATAAAAATTAACCAAGCACAAGACACAATTTTTACCGTGTTAAACCAAGTGTTACTTAAGATCGTTTTTTTATATATAGTAATTTAAAAATATAAGTCAGAATACCCATCACTTTCAATATGTTACTACCTATTCATTAATTACAATACTATTCATTTTTTATTCTATGAAAATATTAAAGATTAAATTTCATTATATACCTAACTTTGTTTAAAGTGACTTTTAAGTACCTATATTCTTTTTAAGCTTTTAAAGCATTCTTCAACTCAAGTTAAATCACAAATGTTCTCCAAAAATTTGACAAATAAAATATTTAATAAAAACGCAACAAAAAATAACAATGTAAATCTTATTATATTAATACACTTAACATTATATTATGTAGGCATTAAATAAAAAATAATTATTAATTAATATTTAATAGTCTTGGAATCAAAAATATAATTTAATACATAAATATACAATTAATAAAATAAATGTTAATATGTTACATAAATAAAACTAAATATATAAAATATGAATAAATGTGTCTTATAAATATAAAAATAACACTTTTTGGTGTATTAAAACATTAATATGTAATTAACATAAATTAATGTGAACATAAGCATACCGAATAAGTCTTGATATTCATTCTATTCTGAAGGGGCGAATATATTTTGTACTGTGATAGATAATATTTACATGGGCAGAATTATTGAAAATTATTAGTTAACGATCTAAATTATATCCTGGGAATAAAAACAACAGAGTTTTAGCTAATTTTACATTTACATTCATGGAATAACTCTTCCCCAATTCTGCTCTACACGATGGACATTGAAACACATCAGCATTAAATGATCGTCTAAGACATCCCTGAAAATTATTAATAATTATTATTATTAATTAATATTTTTAATAAAAATAATTACAACCATAAAAACATTTCAAACAAATAAGTAAATATACATCTATTTTTACTTACTTTACAAATGTTATGAGAACATTCAGTTGTAATTGGTTCAAAGACAATTTCTTGACAACATATACAAGAAAACATTTCTTCAACTCTATCCAAAAATGCCTTAAAATTTAACCCAAACAGAAAAAAAGTGTTAGTAAGTTAAAAAATACCTCATAAAATTACAACATAGTACATACTTTTTTGCCTTTTTCTAAAAATTCTTTGCAGTCTTTCCAATATTTTTGATTGGCAATGTCAGCTGTAATAAGTGTTTCTGCTTCTTTTTCAAGTTTATACTGAATTTTTGATTTTTTTCCAGAGCAATCAGTGACTTCTTTTTCCAAAGAATTGTTCATATGGTCATTATTCTTACACTGCTCATTGTCCTCAATGTCAGCATCTTGTAGTGTTCTTTTTCTTTTAGACCCAGATAATTTTGATTTTGTGTCATGGTTAGCAACAGTTGGTATATAATTTTCAGGATACTAGAAATCACATGATATTATTTACACTATTTATAATATTTATTTTTTTTTTTAAACAGTTAACTCACAATTATTTTAAGACCTAATTGTGCTATACGCTTTTTGCCTTGTGCTGTCCAAGGAGCGGGTGTGGGATCATCGCGTTTTAGAACAAAACGCCATACAGTGAATCCTGATATTCCAGTTTCAGGATAATACTTTGTTACTTTATAAATACCATCATACCTATAAAATTAACAATATTTACCTTTATAAAGTTGATAAATTATTTATATTTTTTTTCAATTGTGACTAAATTTTAGTTTAGCTAACTATATTTTATTAATCAAATTAAAATTGCAATTTGTTAATTTTTGAATTGTGAATAATTTATGTCAATTACATTTTTTATTGTCATCTTAATTAGTTAAAAAAAAAAGTTATTTCCTATCATACCGATTTCCCAACTCTGGTGCATATTTTGAATGTTTACCAAGTTTATAATTTCGCACGACTCTAACTGGTTTGCCTTTTTTCCAATCCACAGCTGTAGCTCCTTTTTCACTATCAATTTTTGCATTGCAATTAAGTGCCAAAGCTCTAAAATATAAAATGTAAAAATTATTACAAAAAAAATTTACATAAAAAGTTTCACATAAAAAAATTACCATACCTATTATAACGTGTCAATTCTTGATCACAACTCTGCAGAGCGGTACGTTTATTTCCTGACAAATCACGTCCACCAGAACCAGTATACAAGAACTCATCGCCGTTGTCAACATCATCTTCATAACCACCACTTAACACAATACTAAAAGCACCCTGATTGTCTCTACCATGTATTCCTCCAACAG